TTAGGGGTCTCTGCCTTTTGCCGACATACAGAAATGGTAAGCCGTATTCTCCCCAGTGCCTAAGTCACTCCCTGATAGTAAGGTTAGATATTAAAGGAGAGAATGTTACCTCTTCCTGATCCATAGACTTCCAGTCAATGCATTGTTACTAAAAGAGAATTTTCAAAATAAGTAGAATAATTATGAAATATGTTTATTTCTCAATTGCAAGTTTGTGTGTTTATACGTGTATGTGTACATATCCTTGTATATTGATATATGTCTATATTTATTCTCACATACATTATATGAAATAGAGCCTATGGATGTAATTTACAAATATATAACTTCACTATCTATTTACAATTATACTTGACTGAATAGGTATCTTGAGGATGTAAAATAGCATAATTGATATACTTTAAAGTGCATCAAATATTTTGCAGCTTTGTTTGTTTGTTTGTTTGTTTGTTTTTGAGAGAGAGAGAGAGAAACAGAGTCTGAGCAGGGGAGGGGCAGAGAGAGAGGGAGACACAGAATACAAAGCAGGCTCCAGGCTCTGAGCTGTCAGCACAGAGCCCGACTCGGGGCTCAAACCCACAAACCGTGAGATGGTGACCTGAGCTGAAGTTGGACACTTAACTGACTGAGGTATCCAGGTGCCCTTAAATATTTTGCAGCTTTAACATAGTTTGGTAATGGAGTGCATGGGTAGCTCAGTTGGTTAGGTGTCTGACTCTCGGTTTCTGGTCAGGCCATGATCTCATGGTTGGTGAGTTGGTTAGTTCGAGCCCCGTGTCAGGCTCTGTGCTGACAGCTCAGAGCCTGGAGCCTGCTTCAGATTCTCTCTCTCTCTCTCTCTCTCTCTCTCTCTCTCTCCCCCTCCCCCACTTGCACTCTGTCTCTCTCTCTCAAAAATAAATAAACATTAAAAAAATTTTTTAATTAAAAAATTTAAAAAAACTGATAGCACACAAAACCATGGTTAAAACCACATTTTGAAGAAAAACCTTCTGAATTTTTATAAGCACTCAAATTTAGAAGGGGATTTCTTTTCTTTTTTCTTTAACTCAGATCATTAAAAGGCAAATCTTTGTTTGAATATATACTAAAATCCCCCATTTAACATTTGCCTGTTTTGTGTTTTGTCCTATGCAGGTATCCCTTTGAATTGCAGATAGAATCGGATACTTCCTAACTTCCTTATTCACTTGACTTTCTTGATAGAGAATGGGGCCTTGAGCCCAACCTCTTTCCTCTCAGCGTAAACTCAGATGGTAACAAAGATATTGTCATTTAGACTTGTCTCCCAGATCATGACTGGCCAGATCCAAATCTCGCTGTTGCACGGGTCATAAATTCTATACGTTCTAATGGGAAATGAGCGATCTATTCAGTTCTCAGCCACTTTCACTTTGAAATCCCGGTAAGACCAAGAGATGCTACAGATGGTTGTAAGTAAGTAACAAAGACTTCTGTCAGCAACTATTGCCTTGCTTTGGTCAACATCCTGCAGTACTCACTGAGCGGCCACCGAGACGCAAACCGCTTCAGACCCCGACAACTGGTTTTGTGTTTCAAGACGCCGGTTCTCCGGGGAAAGAACCGGGACTGTACAGGATCACTCCTCAGACCCGGTGGGGAGGACGGTTCCGTTGCAGGAGGGAGAGAGCTTGACGTGACCACACTTCCCCAGCACCCAGTCTGGCCTCCAGCTCTGAGGCACCTGCGCACACCTGGAGATGCACCCAGCCTCTCTGCCTGCTACTCTGCCTGCCGCTTGCCGCTTTCCCTCCCAGTCCAGTGCTGCTGTGACGCCAGTTCAAACAGATCTGCGCCAGGCCTCCTGACAGCTTAAAAGAGCAAAGGAAAGGGCCCTCGAGAAGCAGGCTGTTAGGATGTGGCAGCTACCACTCTGGTCATTTGAGGCTGCTGAAGGAGCGAGCCTAAGTGACGAATGTATGTGAGTCCCGTGTCCACATGGCCGGAGAGGCAGGGAGAGGGGCAGAAGATGACGGAAGATGGGACTGTGGTGCCTATAAATCCGTTGCATTCACTCAACCATTAACTCACCAAGTATTTGTTGGGTACCCTTAACACTGTTCAGCGCCGTCAGATCACGGTGGACACATTCGGAACAAGGCAGACATCTGCACTACCTGTTGTTAAGCACTTTGAAAGCAAAGAGTTCAGGGCAAAAGCACATTTTGGGAGTCTTCGGGAGTCATGGAAGTCTTCAAAGAGGAGACACCTAAAACGTGAAGGATGAAAAGATGTAGACAAATGAAGGGAGGGTGGGACAGAGTGGGGGCGGAGCAGAAGCAGAGAGGGGGCGGAGCAGAGGCGGAGCAGGGGGCGGAGCAGAGACAGGCAGGGGGCGGAGCAGAGGCAGAGTAGAGGAGGGGCGGGGCAGAGCGGGGCGGGGTGGGGGGAGCGGGTAGAGCAAGGGCAAAGCTGGAGTGGAGCTGGAGGCAGAGTTGGTGTGGAGGCTGGGGTGGGTGGGGAGGGGGGGCAGCCACTGGTGCACCTGCAAGGGGAGGGGGCGGTGAGAGCCAGTGTGCCCAATATGCCAGCGTGCCATGGCGAGGACACTGGCCAGTCTCAGGCCAGAGCTTCTGACCCTCCTGAAGATGACTTCAAATCCCTACATATTGGGTTGAGACTCCTTAGGTCAATGTGATCTAATACCAGTAATTTCACACGGCTGAACCTAAGGCTTCCCCGGATAACTTCCCTTGACCATTTCCCTGTCTAAATTAGTGTCTCCACCGGAAAAAACGCACAGTAGCATTGAGAAACACAAGAGAATCAGTACGAGTAGGACAGTGGCAGGGTGATGACGGATGCCGCTGCTGAAGGACACACAGAGGCCACTTGGAAGAGTGAGGAGCCACACTTTATCCTCAGGCTTCATCCTTAAGATGAGAGGGATGTGCAATGACCAAATTTGTATTTTAAGATGCTCGCTCAAGACCACTTGGAGAATGGAGTGGGAAGGGCAACACAAAACAGAAAATCAAAAAGTGGCTACTATGGTCCTTCAGTGGGAGAAGGCAGACCCATACTAGCAGGGGGAGGGGGAGGTGGGCTTGAGGACCCAAAAGGGGGCCGCCTGGCAGGACTCAGGGGACTCTGTGACTCCGAGGGGGAGGTGAGGGCCCGGGGAGTGAGCTTCAGTTGGTGGTGCCCCACAGGCAGCCAGGTTCAGGTCCCGGGACTGGTCCAGGTGGGTGATGGGCCGTTCTCTGGGCCGGATACAAAGCAGGGGAGCTGGCTTGGAGGGAAAAGGATGAGTTCTGGGCATGTCTGTTCACTCAGTTCCAGTGAAGAGGCGAGAGAAGGTCAGGAGCAGCAGAAGGAGGAGGGAACTAAAATTTTCCGACTGCCACCTAGGTGAGGGCTTTTTCCCTGCTGTTCGGTAAAACCCACACCTTAACTCCAGAGGACAGGTACCTTCCTTTAGCTTTACAGCTACAGAGGCTGACGGTGAATGTTGACTGGAGGTGAGGGAATTGGATAAACTGCAGAGCTGCATTTTATTTTTTTTAATTTTTTTTAATGTTTATTTCTTTCTTTTTGAGAGAGAGAGAGAGAGAGAGAGAGAGAAAATGCACAATCAAGACAAGGGCAGAGAGAGAAGGAGACACAGAATGTGAAGCAGGCTGCAGGCTCTGAGCTGTCAGCACAGAACCGGACTTGGGGCTCCATCTGACAAACCGTGAGATCGTGAGCTGAGCCAAAGTGGGACGCTTAACCAGCTGAGCCACCCAGGTGCCCCTGTAAAGCTGCATTTTAAATGGGCGTCTCTCTACCAACACCCAAGCTCCTACAATTCCAACCTGCTGCCCAGTAACCTAGCGGAACGAACGATATGTGTGGTGGTTATGGCTAAACATGGTAGCCGGATGAGATCCACAAGGCATGTGCTGAAATGTGCCTTGGAACGTGTGGGGGAGGGGAGGTGGGACTCAGAGCAGTGCACCTGACCCAGATGAATATCCTCCTTTCCAAGGAGGGGAGACATTTCCTTCGAGGATGCCCATACCTGCATGCCTTCCTTAACCCTACACTACCTGCTACCTTGGTCGTAGCCTCTCCATGTCTGGAGGCAGGGATCTATCAGTCAGTGGTTGAAAGAACTTGTTTTGCAAGCTTTGGAACAAATCCCATAGTACCTTCCTTGCCCTGCAGAACTGAACTCAGCAAGGCAGCCCCTCCCAGAATCCCTTAAGGGAGAAGTATTTTGCCGATGGCATTATCTCAGCTGACAAAGTTTTACGGCATAGTGTATTTAAAGAGTTATTTACCAATTTCCAAAATAGTAGCAAAACGGTCTCCATAAAGCTAAGTGACTCCTAGGGAAGAAAGTACACATTACATTCTCATACTTGTTTCCTTAATTAGGAACAGATCCTGGTGGCTGGGATTTATTTTCATGAGCACACATCCACAAAAATGAGAAACATCTTGACACGCTGCAACATCCATAATGTTTCTCAAATCTCAATTCCTAATTGGGTTTAAAAAAAAAAAAAGCGACCACAAATTTTCACGCTGGTTTTGATTCGGGATTCAAAACAGAACCTCAGATATGTATTTCTTACGTTGTTCCAAAACGTGTATAAGCTGGGTCGAAATCCACTTCAGACATTAAAAAGAAAAGAATTAAAAAAAAAAAAAACACAAAAAACAAAAAACAGACCAAGGCATGAATTTGGAATTTAACATGGCAAAGAAGATTCTTCTTATGGAACATGGAAACTAACTTGTGGTCTCCCCCACTTTTAAAACATCTTAATCTATTTACTTTTTATAAAGAGGAGAAAAGGGCTAGGAGATGTTTATATGGCACCTGCTTCAATCCTCTTAGAGGATTCCAAGGGCTCCTTTGGGTGTGTTTTTTCTTTGTCAACTCATTCCACAAATGGGCTAGCCTTTTTCTCTGCCCTCACTAAATTCCCTTTACAATTAAGAATCCAGATGAACCATGGAGTCTGTAACGTAGAAATTCTTCTCCTTACCTACGCAGTTTATCCTCAAGGATTTCCATGTACTTCGTAGTATTCTCCTTCACACTCGTTTCTGCAAAACAAAAACCCGAAGTTGATGCAATTGTACGCAAAGATTGAACACAGCCCAAAAATGCTCGACTAAAAGCCAAAAACCCAAAGGATCGCCGTCAGGCCGATAGCGATGATCACATCCTAGGTTTGGAAAACACTCGAATGCACTGAGGCGGCTGCCTGGAGCGAGGTGCTGGAAATGGTCTGAGGCCTTCAGCATCTCTGCCGGAGATGAAGCCGGGGGGCAAGGTCACCATGCCGCGCGTGGCATCTGGCAAGACAGCTCATTTGGTGTCTGGAATGGAAGCCGCTATGTTCTGTGCGTTTTCCCCTTTCCCACCTGGTGGCCAAGAGCTTGGGTGCAGAGTATGAAGAAAAGACCAGAAAGAGGAACAAGTCCCGTCCTATGGACGAAGCAAAAAAACCTCACCAGCGGTAGCATGGGATTGCGGCCCCTTTAACTGAGGAACGCATGGAAACGTGATCCTGACAGTAGCTGACATCAGAGGCTTGGCTTCCAAAGCTGGGAGATCAGCGGGCTCCTCGAGAGAAACGCAGAGCCTCCTAATCACCAAATGTTGAAGGAACAGATGATTGTTATTCCTCCCGTGGATCAAAGAGGCACTTTACCAAAGAAAGAAACTTGGTACATTTTGGGGCAAGCCCTGGTGGCCTGTTTCCTCCTCTGGGGAACGAACGTGCCTTCCTCTGAAGGTGTCCGCTGACAGAGATGTGAATATGAAGTGCCCAGAAGAGCAGGTGGCAGCAGAGAAGCCCCCAACAGATGGCAGCTGTCATTGATGTTACTGCCATTTCTATCATCACTGTTATTATTGCTAAGGTGGACTTTATTATTTTTTTTTTATTTTTTTTAACGTTTTTATTTATTTTTGAGAGAGAGAGACAGAGCATGAGCAGGGAAGGAGCAGACAGAGAGGGAGACACAGAATCCGAAGCAGGCTCCAGGCTCTGAGCTGTCACAACAGAGACCGACGTGGGGCTCAAACTCACAGACTGTGAGATCGTGACCTGAGCTGAAGTCGGATGCTCAACCGACTGAGCCACCCAGGCACCCCTATTATTATTTTCATTTCACCCTTTATTCTCAAAGGTAATTCATGCATGACACTCTAAAGCTGGGGGATGTGGAAAGCAGAAGTCCTATTGCCCGAGCCTCTGCCTAGAGGGCTCTCGGGATCTTATTTTTGCCAACATGTATGTGCAAGGGTGAGGGACAGAGGGTATATTTGGAACTGGAAAACGTACCTTGAAATTCCTCAAAAAGAAACCAAATATTTATACAGAAACTAAAACAAAAGTTCTGGTTCATCAGTTCATAATAGATAAAAACAGAAATGTACGCAATGAAAGCAACTATTTAAGTTGGTGTCCTATCGTGTTGCTTTATGTCGGTCTCATTTACAAGTTAAGCTGTGTCGAGTTTTTTCTCCAAATAAATTAGCTAAATATTGATTTTCAGCACCTACTATGTGGCAGATACTCTGCTAGCATGGGGAATAAGTTGTGGTGATATGGTTCCAGGTAGCTGAGATCTGCTCACTGGTTCTTCTGGGGCAAGTACTGCAAAAACTCAGAATGTCCCAACCAGAAATGCTCTGTTTCACATTCTATACTTATTTTGTGCCATGTGCTGTTGTAAGCCCAGGGGGTAAACTAGTGAACAGAAGCAATAAAGATTCCTGCTTATGTAATGCTTAATTCTGGTAGGGGCAGGTAATAATTAACATAAAAGTTCCATAGAATACTTAGAAGGTAGTAAGTACTACGAAGCAAGAGAAGGGGATCAGAACGGGGCAGCAGAGTGGCCAGGCACCACTGGGAAGGTGACATTTGAGTTAAAGCATGAAGAGGGCGGAGAGGAGCACATAAGCAGCCATACTGGGAGGAGCACAGTAAACGGAAGGAACAGCCAGTCTAAAGATCCTAGAGCAGGAACATACGTGAGTCCTCCAGCAAAATCTGGAGATGTTCTCTGGGAAAAAGAGTAAGGCAGAGAAATAGGCCACCTCTAATCATGTAGGCCACTGTGGCAGATCACATTTCCAGCACATGGCCACAGTCATATTCCTGGTCCCACACACTAGTCCGGAACTTGACCACTCCCCATCAAGCAGTGAAATCTGTCTCCCTCCTCTTGAATCTGAACAGGTTATGACATTACAACCAATGGAGAATGGCAGGAAGGATGCTCTTTAACTTCTGAGGCTAGGGTCCAGCTTCTGCCTGGCTCTCCCTGCTGGGAACCCAGCCAACCATGTTGTGAGGAAGCCCAAGCTACATGGAGAGGCCATTCACAGGTGTTCTGGCTGACAGCCCAGGTGAAGGTCTCAACTTACAGCCAGATATGTGAGTGAGCAAGCTTTCAGATAATTTGAGCCATAGAGTCTGAGGGACCCAGACATCAGGAAACAGAGACCAGCCATTTCTGCTGCTCTAGGTCTAAATGCCTGACTCTCAGAATTTGTACACACAATAAATGGCTCTGAGTGGTTAGGTCTGTGGATGATTCGTCACATAGCGGTAGTTACTGGAAAGCCGTGTCAGGATTTTGCGTGCCCTGAACGAAATGGGAAAACACTGGAGAAGAAAGGCCACAAACTGGCTGGCTCATGGCTTCTCTGTTGAGAATAGACTCTAGGAAGACACGAGAGAAGCAGAGAGACACAGGGAGGTTAGAGCCATCATCCGGGACAAGGGGACGGGGCGGGACTGAGGCCACGGTGTCTCAGGAGTTGGTGATAAGAGGCAGGTTTTAGATATATTTTAAGGACAGAGGCAGCAGGAGTGCCTGATACATTGAATTCAGGAGTGTGAAAAAGAGACCCATCGAGAATGACTACAAGGTTTTTGCCCTGAACCACTGGAAGACAGAGTTGCCATGAAGTGAGAGAGAAAGAATGCAGGTGAAACCAGTTTGGGGAGATGAGCAAGAGTTCAAACTCAGACTGAAATTTGCTGAGAGTAGAACTTAAATGTTCTCACCAAAAAAAAAAAAAAAAAAAAAAAAAAAGTCAAATATGTGTGGATGTGTTAATTAACCAGATGGAGGTGGGGGAGGGCTTCTTTCACAACGCATACATGTATCAAATCATCACGTTGTATACTTTAAATATCTTACACAATTTTATTTGTCAATTATACCTCAATAAGCTGGAAGCGATAAAAGCAATTGAGAAGCTTAAAAAGAGTCCAATTTTGGATCTGATAAAGTTGAGTTTATGAGCCATCCGGTGGCGATGTCAAGTATGAAGTTGGCTATGTGAGTCGAGAAAAGGTCCGGCGTGCCGATGGACATTTGCAAGGCACTGGTGTGTGAAGTGACGAGACTAGATGCTGTCACTGACAGAGTGAGAGTAACTTAAGAAGCCCGCGGTGATCATATGTAACTACAATTACATTGTGATGCCACCTTTCCTCCAAAGGACAAAAATTCACAGCGCCTCCCTCGAGGACAAGAAAGCCATATTCTTATGTTTAAAAGTAATCCGGGTATCTCTCATATTCATGCTTCTGTTCAGAAATAACTATGGTAGTTAGGACCCACACAGGAACACCCAGGCAGTTTGATGAGCCTTTCCCCTTGCCTGGAGGCCACCATCCGAAGAGGATGTTGCATTGAAATACTGGATCCTGACCCATCTCCCAGCCAGCCAGCCTAAAATGCCTTGCACACATTTTCACTAGGTTGACTAGTAACCTTCCAGAGAAGCCAGGACTGTAGACAGGGAGTTTAAGTTTTTAACTTCCTAAATAATAAGCCCCAGATGCATCTTTTCTTCCCTACTTTTTTCTCTTCCTTTTCTAACCGGGTCTTAGAGCAGAGACCAAAAGGGTGGTAGTGGTATTGAGGCAAGCTTCCAGGAACCAAGGATGGCTGAAGGAGGCTGACCACTACAGGGAAAATGCACAAATGCCTCCCCTCTGCTCCATTTGCTGAGGGGATCTGGTTTCCAGGCTCAGGCAATATTAACAGAATGGGATTCATATAATTAATTTCATGAATCCAATTAAACAAAAACTGATTGATAATTAAATGCGGTAAATCTGTGAAAACATTTAGCAGAGTGCACAGTACAAACACAAATCAACGTTTCAGGAATTTAACCCAGGTCCTACTTCACGCCAGGCACTATTTAAATCTGAAAGAGACCTGCCATCAAGGGACACCGAGAGAGCTGGGGGCCAGACTCTAACGTTGACTTCCCCCTGGAGAGCACAGCAACATTTTCCATAAATCTTCATGATAACTGATGATCCAAAAATGTCCCGATGAGTCTGATGAAAAAATATCACCGTGTTATCCAGCAATATCCTTTACAGTGTAAACAAGGAACGTAAGAGAATGTTAAGTGGAAAACAAATCTAACGAGGTTTTCTGTGCATTGTATCTTTTCTTTGCATAATAAAGGGACAGCAGTATTTGTCACGATAGTAGTACAGGAAATGACTTGCTATCAGATTGAGTGAAGCATTTGACTATAAAGAACTTCAACCCCACCACCTTCAATCAATAAAGACAGCATCATGAGATCAGCACAGTATGACCTCAAATTTGAAAATGGAAGCCGAAGGCACCCCATCAGTTTAGCATTAATCACAAATTTTGTCTAACATTTGCCATTTTCTTGGAATTTTCAATTAATATAATAGTTGTAGTAACACAAGGCTTGGCCTTGGTTTACAGAAAGAAGTCATCAGATTTTGAAGATCATTATTCAAGGATCAATGTAGATACAATCAACTCCCATGAGTAAAATCCTCCAAAAGGAAGAAGTGAAAGACAAAAGAGAAATTGCTGAATTCTGAGAAATTGTGAAATATCTAAAGTATTATTCTACTTGAGTGAATGAAGAATGTGTTTATTTGAGTAATTAAACCATGCACGGAGATGAAGTGGTAACATCGCGCTAACAAAGACCCAGGGAAGTCAACAACGCAGAAAAATGGGCTTGCGGCTTGATTGTCTTGATACATGGGATGGAACAGTATTGTCTAGGA